CGTTGTTGTTGCCGCCGTTGTTGTTGCCGCCGTTGTTGTTGCCGCCGTTGTTGTTGCCGCCGTTGTTGTTGCCGCCGTTGTTGTTGCCGCCGTTGTTGTTGCCGCCGTTGTCCGCGACGGTGAAGCGCACACAATCATCCTGCGCACCGCGTTGGGCGACGGGCATGATGACGGGCTGGTGGTTGGCGGCAGCGACAAGGCTGCACAAGCGATAGTTACCCGCGGGCAGGCCATCGGCGACGTCGGCAGACAGGAGGCCCTGGCCATTTCCTTGGTCGTTGATGCCCTTGAAGAAGGCAAAGGTCGTGGGGTCGAGGGGCGTGGTCGGGTTCTGGTCGCCGCCTAGGTCCTGGACGGTGACGTGGGTGTGGCCGATGATGTTGCCGTTACCGTCGAGGTCCTGAGGCGCCGAGTAGTACGTGTTGTCCGGGTTCGTGAATGTGCCCGGGGCGAAGTTCAGCATCTGGACCGAGATGGTGAAGCCAGTGTTGGAGGCGATGGTATCGCCGTTCTTTGGGTTGGTGAAGATGGCGGACACCATGCGGTTCGTTGATGGGATCTTGCCCATTGCTGTTCTCTTGTCAGAAATACAGGACAGGTTCGTATTGTCAATTTGGTCTCACGGATTCCGTTGCAGGAGCCGCCCTGCTTCTGCTCGCCGTTGGTAAGGTCTTGGCCCTGGCAAAAGTTGATAAAGTTGTTGTTGTCTCTGGCGTAGCGTTAGACTCCGACTCTAGTCACCTGCTCACGATGGAGATAGACTCACGTCTGAGATGGTGCCTGCCCATTCGAAGGTCCGCCGTCGCTGGCCGACGCTTGCTGGATGACATCTTGATTCAACTGGCCATTCCCGCCGTTCTGGCGGACCTGCAAGGACCTGGTGAAGGGGGATCTCGGTCGAGTCGTAGCGTGAGCAAAGGAAGGATAGCATGTAGCCAGCAGGCAGACCAAGGAAGCGTTGAAATGCATCGTGAAAGGGTATCTGAAACAGGAACCAGCCTGGGGAGAAAATGAGTCCTTTAAGGGAGCGAAAGAATAGGATCAAAATACAATAAAGAAACGTCTTATAACTTGACCAAATGAAAGAATGTAACACGGAAAGACGAGCAGGTTGGCAAGTCGGCAATGGGGCGAAGACGACGCATCTACTTATGTCTGAGCGACCGGCACCGTCGCAGGGACCCCAGCCTGCGTCATCTGAGCGGTGCGTGAGAGAAAGTCGGTTACCGGCAAACAAACCTTTGCAGCGACGAAATGTAAGACGTGTGAGTGCCAGAGTTGTAGGTGACAAAACGTCGCGATGTGCTCTTGGCCTGTGGTCTGCCCTATCGCGAGGAGGCCACATGAGACACTTGTCGCCGCAGGAATCAGGGTCCGCATCTCGCGACGTCGCAGAGTCCGCCAAGTGCTAATGCCGAGCATTTCCCAAACACCACAGAGTCTGGACGAATCCCACGATAACCGCGCGGGCAGATTCATAAACGCGCTTCACCAGAAAAGGGAAAAAATGAAAGGTCATCAGCCCACCGTATGCGAGGGATTGCCGCGACAGACCGAGATGTCGCGACGGACGTTTACTCACTAGAGCTGTCAGTCACCACAGCAGCGATGACCCGAGCACACAGCACCAATCCTGTCTCGATCTCAATGGCAATGGTCGCGGGGACGTTAACTCCAACGTTGAACACGGCAACACGGCCCAGCAGGCGAGAGACCTGGTTCAACGAGGACTGCGCCCTCCGTGGGGCAAGAGAAAACGATCGCGGAGAGCGATTCGCGCGATATGCATTCACTAGTACTTCAACTGCGATGGCCCTCTCTTTGCCTGGCGAGCCCTTGTCTGATGATGCTGTGGTCGATGCATGGCAAAGCTTCAAAGTCTTGACTGACGTTGTCGGTAGCTGTCGACGTTCACTCGGCTCGCGGCATTGTGGGAAGGTCGAGGTCGGATGGTCCTGATTCTCAAACGTGGTATGTTTTCCGCTTGTTTGTTTCCGCAACTTGACATCGAAGCTGCACGTATTGGAGGACGCACGTATTGGAAGATCAAACAACGCAGGTCCCCGACTTCTTCGACGGCCTCCAAAGGTAAGGAGTCGACGAAACCGGACATCCCAGAACGCTGCTCTCTTTTACCCACTCTACAGGCCGCCCGACACAGCCATTGTCTCCCACAAGCCGGAGCAGTCTACCAGACTTGTTGAGCCTTGAGTCCTTGACTGCCTTTTGCGCTTCCTACGAATTTTCATCGGGAGGTATTCGAGCAACGCGCTTATAGCAGCGGTGGGGACATATCGCCGTGCCACGATGTCTGGTGAGGCAGCAGGTACTCTATGTTCATTCTCTACTCTTCAGGATGGATTTTGCTTTGGTGAGCCGTTGGCCACTCTTTCATCGTCTGGAGGATGTACATCCTGTTAAACCTCGGGAGCCGCGACTCTTGGCGCCAAAGAGGACTGCTCAGTGCTGAGGGTGATGCCCTCGTCTGTCCCTCGTTTGACCTGCCACCAGACTTGAAACATCTTGAGAATAGCAAGTATGACGTTGACGCGGAGGACGTCATCCTGGGCCCTATCAACACTTGGCCACGCAATGGACGCGAGAACGGCTGTCCCATACCCAACATCAGCATCGAATCCGCTGGCGCAATGCTACGGCACGCCCCAAGAGCCCCCAGCTTCTTTTGAACTAACGTCTATGACATGATCAGGTCGGAGGCAGTTAGGGAAAGGCACATGATGAAGCCAAGTCTTGGCTGAACTTCGCTCGCGACGAATGATGACAAAATGCATCAAGCCAACTTTCTCATATATAGCTCACTTCAGACACGCAACAAATAATGTGACAGATACTTTGGAAATTATGAACTGAAAAGAGGATGTACTATGGTAAGTAAAGCAAATAACAAGCAGAGAGAGAGGTGCGAGCCTGATAAAGAGACAGGGAATGAGGGATGTATGCAAGACAGGAGACAATGAGTAAAGAGGGAACAGGGCAAGCGTACAACCCTGAGAGTCCAGTGACGCGAGCCAAGACCACACTCAGGCTGGTCTTAATATAGCTCCAGCTCACGTAGCTCCAGCTTCCGGGAACTCGCATTCCTTAAGACGCTTGAGTGTTCTTTCAACCTTTTCCGCGCTAGCCTTTCGCTTTTTACCCAGCTCGTCCATCTCCTTCAAGTGTTCCATGGTCTCGTTTCTCCGAGTGTCGGCTTTTGCGCGCTGCAGATTTACTGCATCGACAATATTGTCCAGCATTCGATCAAGGTCGCCTTTATTCAGCCTTGGATCAAATTCCTCAACTTGACAGTAGAGCGACCGCATTCTCTTCAGGTCGTTCATCTTCCCTTTGAGTTCGGCGCGTTGCGGGAGCGACATGATGGGCAAGTCGTCGTAGGCGCGAATGGGTGATTGTTCAAAGGCTCGCCTGCTATTATCGAGTCGAATCACATCCATTTCATACTGGACCTGGGCACTGGTGTGATCAATCTTTCGTAACATATATTTCCTAAAACTCTTGTCTGTGGCACTTATGCTGCCCGAGGAGGGCCCGTAAGACTTGCCTTGGGAAGTGGTATTGTCTCCTGAACCCCCTTACATTGGGGTCGTCTGTTGTGGCTCACTGGTTTCTGCCGCTCTGCCAGGTGACTGTGTTTCTGGTTCAGGGGACAATATAGTGAGGTCGACAATCTCCGCAGGATGACTTCTGCGTGGCTTCTTGTGCTCTTTCTTCCTTGAGGGCTGGACTGAGGACGCACGTGAAGACGGCCGTTCTGTTGGCGCACGCGACGACGTCTGTTGCGATGAACTGGGTGTGTTGGGGGTCTCGATAGAACTCTGGACCTTGACAGAACGGTTGAGCCTCCTTCTTTTGTTGCTGGTGTTTCTGGAACGCGTAGTCCCAGGAGAATCATCGGTTGCGTTCGGGATTTCCGGTGGGCTTCGGCCCCTTGTTTCCTTGCCCGAAGGGCTTGTGTCTGCCTGTCTCGCTTGTCAGTACCATTCAGGGGCCGGGCGGCTTCGCGAGCGGCCACGTAGAGTATATGTAACGAACATTTGATTTCAACCCATCCAGCTGCCGGATCGCAGCCAGTACCGCTCCCTTATCCACGACAAATTTAAGACAAGCGTTGTTGCCGATGTTTTCGTCCTTCTGCAGTATGTACTCGAAGAACAATGCTTCGGCTGTCTTGGGCTCCGGAACGGTGGGATCATGCGCCAACTGTTCCATGTAACTGTGAGAAGCGAGCTTCCACAGTGACTCGATGAACTCGGCGCCATACTTAGGGGGGCCTCGAAGCTTGGGAATTTCCGCCTCCCAGTCGGTTTCCTCACGTGCGGTTGACAACTCTTGGTCTTCCGGCTCGTCTTCGCCCCACATGTGCTCCAATTTCTCAAGTCCCCGGAGTTTGATAATGGCAAATATATGCCCCAATATCGGAATGACAGTTTTCTTGTATTTGGTAGAACTGCTCGAGCGGCTTTGATTAAATGGGAGGGTGAAGTTGGAAGGGAGCTGTGGGTCCCTCAGCCGGACTGGACGGTCCTTAAGCATCTGAAAGAAAGATCCATCGCGAAGATTGGTAGGATGAGTGGATTGCAGTGGCGTGATGTTCCAGAACCACAGCTGAGAGAGTGATGGCCCCTCGGGTTTCGCCATCGTTGTGGTTCTGACAATGTTGTGGTGGTGGAATGAGGATGAGGAGAGAAGACAACTCTTCGCAACCCAGGTCCAGAGGAAAGCTGCCTTTTGAGGGCCCATCTGTTGTAGGAGTAATCATGATGAGGAGCTATGAAAGGTGATCACGTTGTCAGGGAAACTCATCATCCATGTTATGAGTTTATATTGACCTCCACGATGCCCCCCGGGCACTCAGGAGTCAGGAATCTCAGAACAGTCCCGGCCAGCGGATAGGAACAACATGCCGGGATCTATCAGCAGACACATCAATTCGAATCTTGTTGCTGTGTCGACGGAGTCTCTGTTTTCATCAGGGTCCAACAGACGCTAAAAGATGCCGGGCCACGGCCCGCACTTGGCCTTTGTACGAAGACTTTTCATCCATACATCCAGTCCGTAGTAGCCACGCGTCCATGTGGCTCTGTAGATGATCGACAGTGTAACCGCCCAGGGATGCGATGCAATCTTGCGCCTCGGTAGCTGCGGTCCCTGCCGATTGCTGCACCGACTCAATCTTCGCTGAAAGAGCTTTCGATTGATTTCGCCCACCGAAGACGTTGGCCTGCTCCTTCTCCTGGCCACGCAGGTCATTCAAAAGCTTCATGGCTATCTGGACAATGGAGGCAGCTTCACGGCACATGCCAATCGTATGCATGGACCGCATCGTCGCCGCCACATGCTCGATGCCCTCATCTTGTGCTTTGGGCAGACAAGCGCCAAGTCCAGCCAAGCCAGCGACAACCGCGTCAAGCAATTGCGATATGACAGGATCTATTACCCCAGGGGCCTGCTGGTCGTTGCTACACAACTCAATCAATAGACAGACACCACTGAGTAGTTCGTAGCAGGTAGCCTCCGCAGGCGTCAGATCGTCCTGTTGAGCCAGAAGCAACTTGTCCAAAGTATTGCTCAATTGCCCAAGTGTCTCAGCTGCGAAGGCGCAGTCGCCTTGGGTTGACAAGCGAGGAACTTTGTATCCAGGGGTTGTTGAATTATCACTCCACAAATCGTGAAAGGCCTCGGTGATCAGACCACATTGCACACGACGAGCCTAGCGATACGGTGAGTAAATTTTCACCATGCCCCGGCATCAAGGTCGGACTTACGCTGGGCGATGGACCGTATCGAAGAAGCACGTGTATCGGAATCGCCTCTTGACTATCCCACGCTGGAAATGCTCCGTAATCAATCTTCGAGTGTAGACTTGCAGTGTCTACCAACTCGTCTGCGGATGTCAGTGGCGGCAAGATCAGGTCCATATACACTTACTGAATCGGCAGTCGGAAAACACATCATGCTGGGCGAGGCCATTCAAGCGCCCAACCCTTGATTCCTCGACGAGACTGATGGCTCTGGTGGTGCTCCACCTCAATTTCCGCACGAAGCAGGGGATCTCAATCATGGAGCTGTAGGCCTCCGAATACAAGGTATCAACAAGTCGGCGGTGCATGGGGGTCTTGAGTGACTGCTCATAGTGATGGACAAACGTGTCCATGAGTTTCCACCCCATATCGTCAATCGGCGACAGCATTTTCGGTGCCACTGTCGACAAGCGGTCATAGAACAGCGGTGCCAGTACGTCAATGGTAGACCGCTTGACGGCCAATCCATCCCAAAGCTCGCGCGCTCGCTTGACCGATCCAAGAGCGAGGTGGAGCTGCATGAGCATCAAGCAGAGCTGGGTCTGCGAGGTATCGAGGGACAACTGATGCTCCAAGAGTAACGTCGCGTGGAGCAGATGTTCCGATGTTCCCAGCCGAATGTCACAAAAGGCTGCCAACAATGCAAGATCCGTAGAGACTGTGGGATTCCTGGGACTCGATGAGGCGTTCGCTTCTTCGTAAAAGTCGATGATGCGGCTGCGCAACTTTCCTAGCCCATTCTCCCAGCGGCGCGTTGTAGACGCCAGGTATTCCACTTTCAAGAGCAGTACCCTCCATTGCCCAGCTTTATGGAGCTCTTTTTCGTCTTGAACTTTTGGGAGAAGCTCATGAACAAGCAGCCGCAGAGAGTCATGGTCGAGAAGGTCTAGGAATCGACTGATGTCCTCGAAGCAAGAAGGATTGTTCCACTGGTCTCGGATATATCCGCATAGGTCCAAGAGATATTTGTTCGAACCGTCTGAGGTTGGCGTAGCCTCATGTTTGGGTAGGAGTGTGAATGTGGCGTTCACGCGAGCCAAAAGGATATTGCGTCTGTGGATCGAGCTGAGACCAGGGGCGCTCAGGAGCGTGGAAAGAATTTCGCCAACCTTCTTCCTGCTAGCACATCAGCTCACATGTCGTGGAATAGTGCTCCATGGAGGTAACGAACCGAGCGTCGCTGCCGCAAGCATGGCCGGCGGCGGTAACAAGCAACTCCAATGTATCATGGTCGCACGCGAGCAAACCAAGTGTCCCATTCTCCGTCTTCATCAAAAGCGCATCCTCGCACAGCGAGTAAATCCTTGCCCAATTCCCATCTGCGGCAAGCTTTTGAGTATACTTGGCAAATAGAGTCTTGTCACCTTGCCGTAGTTGATTCAACGGCCCGAACTTTTGGCTGTAGGCGAGAGCTTCATACTCGGCTTCTGAGCCATGTGTTTCCACAATCTGGTACAAGAGCCATTTCTCCTCAGCCGTGCGGATGCCTCTGTACGAACCACTGGAAACACTTCTGTCATCTGGCTTGACCTACGCGGTAATTAGATGTTAGTTAACCGAGAGAGGAGTGGTCATCGGGACTGTCTTGAGGACCGTACCTGCTCCGCAACCTGGGCAGCTTTTTGGATCTGCTTCAAAGCAAGTGTCCCGTAAAGGCGCTTTTGTTGCTGTTCGGCTTGATCCGACGTCTAGATAGCAGTATCAGCACTATGCGTCCCGTCAATTTTGCGGCGAATTGCTCACCGATAGCAAATACGTGAGTGCGATGTTCCAAAAGAGATAACGTCGTTCATCGGGATATGACCGATCAAGTACGGCTGCGATCTATCGCGCGTCCCATTAGCAACGTATCAAATTATCCACGGTAGGCCGTTGTCGAACCTGCTGAGCACTTCTCAAGTCCCAATGAGTCAAGCATGACTCGAGTGATTGTGATGCGGCGTGCTTGTCCTTGGGCCGACCCTTGACGGCTTGGGCGCGCAGAGGACCGATGCTCTCCTCAAAGAATGTCGGCGAGGCCGTGCTTTTTGACGCCCATTCGAGTAGATTCAGTGCGTTGAAATCTCCTGCTGCGGGGTGTTTGTCGCGGAGTAGTCTGGACACAGCAGCAACCGCAGCAAACTTGGTTGATGGCTCGTCAACTTGACATTGCGCACATACTTGGACAATCTTGAACAATGTTTAGATCTCATCAACACGCGCATGAAGTGGCAGCTAACCTCGTAGTACGGATCCTTCGTCATCCTCAACCTGCTCTCGGCCAGCCGCGCCGCCAGCGGCCAGTTGCCATTGGCAAACGCTGTCTGAAGTTGAACATCAACTCCATCCTTGAGAGACGGCTTCATTCGTTGCATGAATGGGCGATTTCGATCGGGCCAGACACGCCTCGCAGATTTCCTTGTATTTATTGGCAAGACCCAACTCGAAGCGATCTGAGGGTGGTTCACACTGAAGCCTTCATGACAAAAAACTGTGGCGCTCCTCGGTGGTTCCCTGTGGCTGAGGTCTCCCACGTTAGCGTCATTGTGGCTGAACCACCCATTCCATGTCGACTTTGTTCCTTGCATCCCCGATGCCTCGATCATCAATCCCGTTCCTCGTTCAGCGTCAACAACGGAGGTCAAAAGACCAAGACCCAAGCCGATTCCGCTCTCTAATATTCCGTTCATCATGGCCACTGGTTCTGGCGACAAGGACGCGAAGTCGAATGAGTCTTCCTCCCCATGGGACGACAACACAAGACGTCGCTTTGAAAGGTAGCCGCGCCGCGCTGCTCCCATTCCTGGCGCTAACAGTCACTTCGCAGCAAATCGAAAAGCGAGTTCTACGATCCGTGCCAAGAAGCAGCACAGCGCAGCTACCGGTGTCTGTTCCGAAACAACGGCGATAAGGCAATGTGTGGTGAATATTTCCAGTGAGGCGATCAGGCGAACATGACGGCCTACTGCTGACAAGATGACAGGGCCTATCGTGACTGCAAACAGCACTGGGTACGTATTGCTCCTCGGAGCACTCTTGGCTTTGACTGACAGTTCCACAGGTCGAGGAACGAAGGAAGGACTCAACCCCGTTCTTCTCATTCAAGAGCGAATCGAATGACCAAGCGTCAACGCCCAAACCATCGTAAAGAGCCGGCATAGCTCGTAGGACTTGACGAAATATAACCATCGCTGCGTTCGGCTACCCACATCATACTTGCTCCCAGAATCTGTCCTCCTGCTCAGACTGGGCATCTTGCTCTGCCCTCTGTATCAGCCCAGCCCTCGCGCGCTCAATTTTGGCAGTCGTTTCGATGCTGCAACACAAGCCGACGTCGAATTCCTTGATACCGCTTTCGCCCAACAACGCTAGTCCCGCAAGCCCGAGGTACGCGTGATACAGGTCAGGAGGTGCTCCTGCCACCTTGGAAAATCCGCCGATCCGGTGTTGTGTGATCTCGAGCAAGTAACGACGCGCCGGGCTTGCGCCGATATCGAACCCCGAGTCGAGCATCTACGCACATCAGTATACGTATTGAGGTGAGTGGGACAGGATCGGGACTTGTGCACATACGCGCAGTGTACCCATGGCCCACCAGCAATAGCACGTGTCGGCCTTTTTGTTGCACCGGCCGTTGAAACCACCATAGTCGCAGCTGTCATCAATGTTGAGAGAGTCCAACTGTGCCATGATGAAGTTCTCCTCTCCCGCGTCGTGCGAGACGCCCTCTTCCTCTTCATCTTGGGCCAGGTAGACAAATTGGCGATCCGCCAAGAACTTCAGCAGATGATCCCGATCGCTTGTGCCCCGGAGCACCGCTTCATGCGACGTGCCGTCCGAGAATCGCAATGGCCTATCCAAGAGCGATAATGCTGCAACGGAGCAGTATGCGTAACCAGCTGCGACCTGGTTAGGGTGGGCGCAGCGCACAGGGCGTCTTCGATTGCTTACCGTGAGACTCGTGTGATGAAGCTTCCGCTAGCCCGCCGTCGAATGTTTGCCCGCGGCGAATATGCCTAATTATCGATTCCATGTCGATATCTTCTTCCTCCGCCGCGCTACCCTTCTCGGGATCTCCGCGGAGCATCCACCTAACCGAGCTCGCCAAGTAGCTGTGTCGAGTGTCTCTGCCGCCGACAGGCTGACCATCCCACATGTTCTGCCCAAAACTGCCGTCGTCCCGCTGCAGTCGTCGAAGCCACCTGAGTGTCTGTTGCCGATTAACCCCAGCATATGCGTCCGCACCAGCCTCGCCGTGCTCTGCCACTACAGCGAGCAGCACAAGGGCGAAAAACGTTGCCGCCAAGTTCGCATGACCTTGATCTGCCGCCTGGCCCTTGTATACATGAGCCGGGCTGCCACAAAATCCACCTTGAGGATGTTGCAAGTTCAGAACCCAAGTGCGCACATTGGCTACATCCTCGGGGTCGAAAGGCACATGTAGTATGTCCAGAGCTGAGTACGTGAAACACGCCCACATCAAGCGCGTCGAGTCCGATGCCGTGTACGGCGATGGGAGGTATGTGTCATGGCAGCGCTTCCAATATTTGATATGGCGGTCCTTCTCGAAAACGGGCTCAGGCCGGGTCATGGCTGCGGTTCCGACAGCGAAGAGTGCCACCAGATAGAGATGTGAGAATGAAGAAGGAGAATCGTGGTCGAAGCCCACGGTGGCTCTTGGGAGAAAGATCTTTCCTCCAGGTCTCGATTGGCGAGCACTACCACCTTCGCAAGTAAATAGATGAAAGCTACCACGGATACTTCGTGCAAGATAATACAGTTCTCTTGAGCAACGGACCCCATGTACCCCGCTACCAACGACGAGCGCGGGCGCGCTTGCAACCGCCTTAGTAAGATACCACGTACTGAAGCTGGGTGCCGCACCTTACCCTGTAGTCCTTCAGATGACGCTTTACAATTTGGCGCCAGTGCAACTAATATCACACGGTTTCAGGAGGCGGTTTCGGTGTAGAAGCTTATTGTTGGTAAGTTAAGCATTGCCAATTGACATGGCAACTAATCCAACTAAGTATCTCAAGGTGTTTCTATATACATTATATTCGAACCTGTGATTGGATGAGTATGAAGCAGAGGGGTATCCCCGCAAAGCAAGTAAAGATCCAAGTCGTCGCGAACATCAGACAAGCACGCTCAAGGGGACATCTGGAGCTCAAGGCCAGAGTAGCGAAACAGTGTCATCGTCTGCGATCAGCTGCTGCCACCGACTTGGTTGGCAGCTGCTCATGGTGTCTTGATCGCAGCTGCACTGGCATCGTTTCGAACTTCCGGTTCTTCGTCCGCCTCGATGATGCGTTCTTCGACGATTTCGCCCGGTCGTGTGATGACAGGCGTGAAGTTTTCCACCTCCTCAACAACTTCTGCCTCTGCTTCGTGATCTTCGTCCTCCTCCTGTATGGTCACTTCTCCGGATCGCCGAGCAATGGCACTTCCACTCGCAGAACGCGAGTGGCCACCGGCTGAGGAGCTTCTGTGACCACTCCCCAGGACACCTCCGGGGTTGAGCGAGGGGCCCTTGAAAATGTTCTTCTTGCGTCTTGCAAACAAGACCCCCGACGAGAATGGGTTTGGCGAGCCTGGTACCGCGGGTTCATTATGAGGCATGCCTTCATTGTAGAAGTTCAAGGGCGAGGGCGCGGCGCGGACCAGACGGATGTTGGAAGGGAAGGATGTGGCCGTTGGAGTAGCGGGAAGTAGCTTGACAGAGTGTTGCGGGGACGCGCCACGATGATGTGCGTTCTTCGATACCGAAACTGATCCAGCAGAACTAGTCGAGGAAGCTTTGGAGTGGGAATGGCGGTGCCGATGCATGGAACGTACTGACGAGACTGACGATGACGTGGACTTGCGGCCTCGAAGACCGGCCGACGACCGTCTCATTGTCGAAGATCGAGGGGTCACAGGCGTGGGCGTCAACGGCGCTGGGGACAAAGACTGGCGCTTCCGAAGCTGTGGATGCGCTGGGGAAGTGCGCAATGTTCCATGGTCCGACCCCGGATGGAGGGCTTGTCGGGACTGCCCGTGTCCGGCTTTGCTGCTGCCCTTTGACCCTATCGCGTTGCCTAGATGGCCGTTCGCCACGACGTTCTTCGGCAGTCCTGCAGTGGCTGGGAACTTTTGAAGGCCTGAGGTTGGGTTTGTCTGAGGACGAGGTGTTGAAGCCTTGCTATCTTTGCCAGTGGAGTTTCCATCTTTCTTGTGTAGATCAGGTGTGCTACGGCTTGACTTTCTGTCGTGCCATCGTCGTCTTTTAGTCGTGTTTTCGAATATCCAGTGTGTCCAGTTCTTCCAGTGCGCAATAATGGCTTGACTTGGTTTACGTCTGGACTTTGGATTACCATTGGTCTCCGTTGTGGTATGGGAGTGGTGGTGGTGGCCGCTATGGCCAAGCGCTTCGGATGTTGTCACCAAGTGGAGCGTGGAACCACGAGAGCGTGCGCTTCGAATGATGCCCTCTTTGGGAGGTGGCACGGGACGACGATGCGTAGACGTTGACGCGGATCTGATGGAGTCCTTGTCGATCGGAGTCGGTGGGATCTCGTCAGGGCTCCCAAGACCGTTCCACGCACTCGGGTCGCCAAATTGGGTCGCCAGCTCCTGGAAGTTGAAATCAGTATAATAATGTGTGCTGCGTCGAGAGCTCCGGCCGCGGCTTCTCGAACTTATGAAATGGCTGGTCAAACCGCCGTCTTCGTCGACATCGTGCAACGAAGGCGCCATGCGCTCCAGTCTGCTCGATGCAGCAGAGACGCGACGTGAGCTCTTGTTCTCTGCCTCTCGTTCCGTGCGCTTTCTCTCCCTCCGCGCAAGCTTCCTGCGTTCTTTGGCAAGTAGCAATGTCCACCATCCCGATAGAGCATCGCACTTCTGAGCCAACACGCTCTCTATGACCATATCAATGTCGACGCCTGCAGCCTTCATCCGATGGAGGCAATCCTTCTCCAGGCCCGTGGTAAATGGGCTAGGCTGGTGGACTTCCAGGATAGCCTGTTGCGCCGGAGCATGTTCGGCAAGAAATGGGTGGGATAGAATGTCGGGCAAACTTGGTCTCGGGAACGGTCTTTTGGACAGCAGCTGCTCCATCAGACTGACTGCATCGGCAGGGAGATGTTCGGGGAAGGCGGGCTTCTCGGTGAGGATCTTGGTGCGCGTTGCGCCGTCATCGTCATCGTCAAAAGGCAGTTCACCGCACAGCAAAGCATACAATATGATGCCTAGACTCCAGACGTCAACCTTCTCGCCCGCGTATTTTTCCCCTTTGAGCATTTCTGGAGCCGCATAACATATTGTTCCGCAAAAGGTTTGGAGGTGGTTCGTTCGGCCCTCATATTCCCGGGTGAAGCCAAAATCGACTAGCTTGACGTTTTCGTTCTTGTCGAACAAGATATTTTCGAGTTTCAAGTCGCGGTGTACACAGGACTGCTGGTGGACGTAGGCAACCGCGCCGACAAGCTGTGCAAAAATCTTTTGGACCTTTGCGATCGGCAATGGCCCATGCTTAAGAAGGTAGTTGTAAAGCTCGTCTCCTATCGAGCCACATTAGCATAGCCCAATCACATCTTCAACGGTAGGCTCTTACCTGGGCAGTACTCCAGAGCAAGCCACACCAAGCTTTCGGTGACTATCACCTCGTAGAGTCGGGCAATGTGAGGGTGCACGAATTGACGGTGGTGGTGGATCTCGCGTGCGAGGTTCGAATCATCCTTGTTCGCGGACTTGAGCACAACCTAAGGAGCCAAGGCGTAAGTACAGCAATCAACGTTGGAGGTAACTCTTGGGTTGTCGTACCTTGGAGCCATTGATGAGCTTATGTGAGGCAAGATAGACCTTGCCAAACGACCCCTTGCCAATCAAACGCCCAAGATTATAATTCCCAACCGACTTGAGCTCCTTGTTGGAGAATTCGCTGTCGAGGTCAGCAAAGCGCAACGAAGACTGCAGCCGCCGCGAAAAGGCGGTCGCATGAGGTGGGTGCGCACTCCAGAAGTTCTTGATACGAATTGGCCAACTGTAATGGCTGTTAGGAAGGCCCGAGGCTCGCGTGTTCTTGCGAACTTACTTTAGCCTTCCGTCCGTTTGCAACCGTCTTCCCTCTGGCGATCTGCATCCCTAGTGCGTTGTCGGTGCACGGTCAGCAGACCGTGTTGCAAATTAATGCGCGGAGCAGTCGTAGAGTTCGGGGGCTGGTGGGCCGCTCTCGTCGTCTTGAGCTTGTCGTTCGTCGGTCGATCAGCTGAGGAAGTCGTGATATCCTACAACAACGTCGGGGATAGGGGTTCAGGAGTGCTCATCGAAAGCAAGGAGAAAGCGCCATGGCAGAACAAGAGAAATCACGATCGCGCAAGAAGGTTCGCGTTCCAAGTATGAATCACAAATGGCGAAAATAGTCTGTAAGCCAAGAAGAAGGGGAGGAAGGTGTATATTCGTGGGGGATAAAGAATGAGGCGGATTGCGACGTCCATCTGCACAATCAACCAGGTACTGTCTGAGGAAGTCCAGCGCGGAATCCCTTGTTGAAGGTCAGCGCCACAGTGCGCACATGTACGCCACACATAATAATAGTCGCCACACGACACTATCATACTCCCCGTAGTGCCGCAAGTACGGAGTACGACAGTCGGTAATTCATCACCGTCGTACATTTTTGAACTTCTCTGTCGACACTCTCATCTGGCTACTCGGGCAAAACGGAGATACATCTCAACTCTGTCCTCCGTGCTGACATAGTCGGTGGGCGCATAGCATCATGCTGTTGTCCGAAGTGTTACAAGCAGATGTATGTTACATTAAGGTAGTACATCCTACTGGTACTCTACTACTCGGGCAACATGAACGCAGCCCGTGCTTCTAGTAACAGTCCTTATCTTTTTCTGGTATCCCTGCCCCTTTTCTTGCCCTTTTTCTTGTCTCGAGGCAACTCCAGCTTAGTGCCCTTTACCGCATCGGCCATCGTTCGGAGCATAAAGTCATCAATCGTCCCCATCGGAGCTCCCCAAGCATTCGGCTCCTGCATGATGCCTTCAGTGGCCTGGTCCTCCGCGTCAATGTCGCGAACAGCGGATGCAGCATTGCGGCCAGTCGAATCTTCAGGGGTCACAAGGCTTGTGTTTTCGACGAAATCAGCGTCATCGGCCTCGATCTCTCTCTCCGCAACGCGAGCTGCATCGATGTCTTCGCGGTCTTCAGCCTGCTCGAGAACGCGACCGACTTTGCGCTGGTTTGCGTCCCCATCAGAGCCACCAAGGACGCGATCAAGAGCAGCATCAGCCGCAGAAACACCTTCACTGAAAGTATCCACCTTTTCCCGTAGCAAGTCGCGCACGGACATCTGGTTGAAAGCATCTGTAGTGAAAGTACCTTCTTGTATGACAACGTCGTCAAGCATTTGTTTCTGGGAGGCTTTGCGTAGGATGTTCGCCTCGATGGTATGCTCACTGACGAGTCGGTAGATGTGGACGTCTCGTGTCTGGCCAATTCGATGACATCGGTCCTGACACTGCTTATCCATGGCAGGATTCCAATCTTGATCGTAGAATATCACAGTGTCTGCTCCAGTCAGGTTTATTCCCAACCCACCGGAGCGCGTTGAGAGGATAAAACACAGGATTCGTGGGTCATTGTTGAATCGATCCGTCAAGATCTGGCGTTGCTCGACTTTCGTGGCGCCGTCAAGTCGCAGATACTTGTGGCCATGAATGTTGAGAAATTGTTCCAGTATATCGAGCACCTTGGTCATTTGAGTGAAGATCAAGGCGCGATGCCCGCCGGCTTGAAGTTTGCGCAGCAAGCGATCAAGAACCTGCAATTTGCCGCAGTCATATTGTAGGAGACGTTTGTCGGGGAATTGAATACTGAGACGCAGTCGTGCCTCATGCCAGGGATCCAAAGGTGATTCCTTTTCCAACCATGGTGTCCACTTCTTCGGCTTGGAGATTTGGAGATCTCGTTCCGTGAAGGCATGAGCCGCACGACGGCCGAGGACGACTTCTCCAATGTCACAGGTCACCACAGCCGGTGTGACACATGAGAACTTCTCGATGGCGGTGCGCATGCTCTCTGCGCGCTGTTGTAGAGAGAGAGCCATCGAACCCACTGTTGACGACGTTTGCTCGAACCAGGACAAGAAACCTCGAGCAGCCTTAGGTCTTGGCTTCCGAAGTCGTTCGCCCGCATCAATTGTCAACAGCTGAACAAGATCTTTGCCGTATATGGGAGTTTGCTGGCGCCGCAGTGCATTCAAGTATACACAGTGTTGCAACTCTTCGAATCGGCCCCAGCGAAATGCACTCTCGATGTAAACAATACTGGATGTGACGGTGGTTGGATCCAGATTAACGTATGCATTTCGAGCCCGGACTCTTTGCGTTTCTCGGTAGTCCAACAAATCCGTGGATAGGCTCAGTTTCGCGACCTGTTCAGCTACAGCTCTTGGGATACTCTCATACTGCGCTGGCACCAGGTTCAAGAATCCTAGGTCAACCTTTGACATGGGTTCCGGCCTCAAGAGCCCCTGGGACAGCATTCGTGCAGTCGATTGGTAAAGAGCCGGGACAGATTTCTGCATCCGCAAGGAGGTGACAATTTTACGATCGACAAACAAGTCTGGGTGGTTGCAGACCTTCCTCAGTTGCATCAGGCAATTGATGATAGACATGTAATTGCCAGACGCTAGAGTGTTTTTGGTGTCAGCTCGGGATAGAAATCCATCGTACAGCTCGCGTTGCCTTTTCGACAGTCGACAGAATTCGACATGCTCGTACTTGCCAGGCATCTGTTTCTCAACATCCGCTTTCAGCCGGCGCAGGAGGTACGGCCGTAGCACCTTGTGGAGTTTGGAAATGATGGCTAGAGCCTCGTCGTCCATCTGTTCTCGTCCATTCTCCAGAATCTGGCTTTCGGGCTTGTGGAACCAGTCATGGAACTCTTCAAGGTCGGCGAACCCTCCCACACCATTTTGAGCGGGCATGAGAAAGAAGAGCAGGGACCATAACTCTGTGAGATTGTTCTGCAAAGGCGTGCCTGTGAGAAGGAGTCGTGCTTGCGTATTGAATCCCAGGAGTGTTTGCCACCGCTGCGATTTGAAATTCTTGATGTTGTGCGCCTCATCCAAAACGAGGTAGTGCCAACGACGCCTCTTGAAGACTTGCTGATCCTGGAGAACCAATTGATACGACGTAATGCACACATTCCACATGTCGTCGTTGTTCCACCCTTGTCGCTTCCGTTTCCGTTCCTCCTGAGACCCGTAGTAGGCCAGGATTTTGAAGCCAGGACACCATTTCTTGAACTCCATTTCCCAGTTCAGCATCACACTTGTTGGAACGACCACCAAGTGTGGCCCCCAGACCTCGTGTTGACACGCTAGATGAGCGAGCAGGGCAATAGTCTGTATGGTCTTGCCAAGACCCATTTCGTCTGCCAGGATACCATTTGTGTTGTTGGCGTAAAGCCCAGCGAGCCAGTCCAAACCCTGATGTTGGTATTCACGCAAGGTTCCTCGCAGGAGGAAAGGTACCTCGGTGGTTTGTTTATGTGATTCTTCGGATGTGAGCCGTGCTTTATCTTGATCTTGTTCATAATCCATCGTCGACTTTGCATCGGGCGAGATCTCTTGGCGCATAGGCTTTTCGGACTCTTCGTGCAGTACAGTTGAACCTGGCGCATCGCCATCCGTAGAGATGTTCGTGTTGAGTTGTTCATCAGGAGCACTGTTGAGCCGTGTTGAGGCCGGCGCGAGGCTTGACGGGGTGCCATCGTCGCCTACTTCAAGTGCCCCTGTCATAGGTTCCGTTCCAGGTGCTTCAGCGGAAAGCTCTTTCAATTCGGAGTCATCGAACAGCATGTTCAACAGGCCATTTGGTGCCCCGTCGTCGTGGTCATCATCGCTACCGTCGCTGTCCTCGCTATCGGCATTTGTGCCGTTTTTGCGCCCTTCATCGGCAGCATCACTGTCCTCCGTCTGGTCTGACTCCCCCAGGTCATCATCCATGTCCACCGACTCGTCACTAGATACACTGGTGCCGAGGTTCGTGGACATGTTGGCATCCGTGGGAGAAGCTGATTTCATGCTGGCGCCTGCATACTTGACACGGAGTTGATCCTGGGTAAGCACTTCGTCTGCTACGTCGACCTCCCCTGCATCCGGTTCGTCGTCGTCTGTTGACGACATGTTGTCGCTGTCTGTGAGGTCCGAACTCCGCGTATCGGCAGTGTCAGATTGTGAATCGTCGTCAAGGGGGTCGTCGTTGACACTGCCATCCGTGTCCAGGTCGTCGAGGGAGGCGATCTCGGAGTCAAGCCCAAGCTGGCGCGCTTGCAGCTTTTGCTCAGAAAGGTTTACAGCCTCGTTGAGAGCTGCTTTGACCCGGCGCTGCTCCGCTGCCTCCCATTCCTCGAAGCGCTGACGATTAGCCTCTGCCTTGACGTTCTCCCACAATCCACTGATTGCTCTCATGACAGAATAACGGTAAGTACTCCGCCATCGCTCCCTTGCTTCCGCTTCTACTTCTTCTTGCGATTTCGGTCGACGCCTTAGCCATTCGTCACGACAGGCCTCGGCGATTCGCTTGGCCATGGTCCGATGTCGTTGCTGCTCCATCACCATCAGCCTTCGAAAATTAGACATAGCCTTGACCATATGATCCTGCCTCGCCCATTGCCTTGCTGGCACTTCCGTTGTTTCTGGTGCAAACAATGAGCATCGGCGGCTTGACAGTAAGCCCCCGTCTTCCACCTCTTCCTCGATTCGTAATACAGTGCGTGCATCTTTGCGAGCCATCTCGTCTGTGTATATTGCCCCATCTTCGGATGACTGGAGACCTCCTGCATCAACGGAGATATTCCCTGCCTGACGCCAGAAGTCTTCAAAGTTCGCGCCAAGCTTGGGTCGCTTGGGTGCTTGTGCAGCATGCACTAGCGGTATGTTGCCTCCTCGACTCACCCGCAACCGTATGCGTGGGGAAGAATGCTGCGTGTAGGAATTCGCCGACACGGACATAGGGTCTTCGGCAGACCTGTGCACGGCTTGGGATCTCACGCTTTGTCGCACCCGACTAGACTGTCTGCGAGATTCCGGTTCGGGTGACAGTGACGTGCCTTGCGCAAGCCTCGCAGAGGATGTACGCAGCTTTGAGCCCTTCTTTGCCGAACGACTTGAGCCATGCCCCCGAACGGACAAGCTCTCGCCGTCATTTGACCTCTTTCCCACTTTTGCATTGCTGCGACTTGTATGTTCGCGAGTCTTGGTAGAAGAGTTCGCTGCCGCCTTTCGGGCACTCGCTGCCTGTCGTGGTTTTCGAGTTGTTGGTTGAGGCGTCTCCGCGACTGCTATATTGATGCGACCAGACTTCCGGCGTCCATTTTCGGTGTACGATGTTGGGCCGTCCGCTTCGATCCTTTTCCACGGTGGGGATACGGGCTTCGGTTTGCGCGCGCTTCGGGGTGTCGTTGCGCTCAGTGTTCGCTGTCGCTTGGCCGGTCTCTCGTCGGTAGGGGAATCATGCTTTGGGGTTCTCCGGGTAGCGGTAGGGGTTGCTGGTGTCGGTATCGGTGGCGAGCTTTTGCTGAGATGGACGAGGCCATTTCCGCCGTCAGGCGACCTCGGTGCATCATCCAGGCCTTCATTGTGATTCAGCGCGGCGGCAGAGCGCGCTTTGGTCGCTTCATCTGCATCGTCATTTGCGCGAAGCGAGTGGCGTCGGGGTTGCTTGGATAACTGGGACTCGCTCATCACGACGAGACACGACGGCCGCAGACTCGGAGTGCGTTGTTCGCGAATGGCACACATTGGCGATGGAAAAGGCAACAACCAGTCAAATTTCAGCCAGTCGTTTTGGGAAAATCCAAGGTGTATGGTTTTGTTCGCTAATTTGTCGACGTTTGAAGCAGCAGCAAGTACGTACTATAATTTCGAAGAAGCTGGCATTACCGCGACATGTAGCGACGCGAAAGGTCAGACGCGAGTTTCCAGGAATAAATTACAGCTTGAACACTAAGCCGAGTCCAGCACAGCCACAACGACGAAGCAGAGCGTGTGGGGCGATTTCACCTGTTTGTGGCTTGACTGATGAGTAATCTGACTGTGTCGCCTGAGGCACTTCGTACAATCAATTGGTCTCGCGCCGTTAGCAGATCAACGTCAACCAAGCTTCGAAGCAATTGAGGTCGACGCGCCGACATATCGCAAAGGTAAGGCATTGAGTTCAGTCCTTCCAACGTTCTAATTCCGTTACTGACTGCGACTTCGGTCGCACAGATGCTTCCTGCTAGACTTGGTCGACGGTCAGTTCTGCGCAGCGCAGTGGCTGCTGCGCAGAGACTCCCTACGACTCAGCGACGAACTTTCATCCCACCGCAGTACTCGGACGCGAAGGTTCTGGAAGAGAAGTTTCCGACTCCCCACGAATTAAGCCCTGCCCAAGACCCGGACATGGTAAGTGCTTCATGCGTCGGCATTGGGAGCAGAGGCTGACAGCGTCGTCACGCAGAACGGCGGTTACATTAACCCTCCGGCAATCAAACGCCAGCACCGCGACCCTCATGCCGACTGGTGGGACCCTCAAGAGCGACGAAACTTTGGCGAGCCCATTCACGAAGACAACGACATTCTGGGCATGTTTTCGCCCTATGACTACACATGGACAACAACCGGGCCTGGCCTGATTATGATGGGCACCTTTGTCGCTACGTTTTTGGGTGTTTGTGGCGTCGTCTACATGAATTATCCAGACAAGGTGGCATACCCTCGAGAATTCGAGGCAGGATTGGAAAGGGAGTTGGGCGGCCCAGGTGCTGTCAGGGTGAGCTATGACTTTGCTTCGGACCCGACATCAGCGACTAACACTTCTTTTAGGCACGCAAAGCTGGGGATGAGGATCCTTGAAGTTAGAAACACCCATGAGAGGCTTCCTTTTGTACGTTCCAGCAGTCGAGATGGGGAAGGACATATAACAGTTGACGGGGCCGTTGTACAACTTGAGTACACAGTGGTTTCGTTCCTCGGCAGTTGAATTTCGCGCTGCGACTATCGAGCGCCTGCATGGTTGTATTCACCCCAATGATCCAGTTGGTATATCTACCTTACCATCAGTTTGCCAGTGCATGCGGCGTTCAAGTAGTTGCCAGAATCCGTTCCATGCGGTTTATCTTTCTATTTATCGCATAAGTCCAACGCGCTCGGTAGCAGCTTATGAATGTGAGGTACAATTTCTCCTACTTCTGGCTTTAGATGTCACACCTCCTGAATGCACCATTACAACTACAATCAACCAAGGGCTTCGGTGACCATTGTTGTCGACAGATACACGTGCATCCTGACGCTCACAAGGTCTCCAACGACCATGAAGTAACCCAACAACCCTGGATATCGAGCATCAATAGTCGGCGAGCAGTGGATAACCATGCCGACTAGTTACCTGGTAAGAAGATTGTGCTTCTGTGGATATGTCTTGGTATAGGGTAGGCTTTCAAAGTGGAGCTCCCGAGGAGCTCCCATCGAACGTCATCACCCTACCTGGTGCCTTTGGACTCGTAGTCCTCACCAACCAAGGCGGCTGAGGTTATCGAAGTATCGCCAATCAGTCACTATAATCATGCTTCCCATTTCACTTGGTCTGGCCTTGTACACATCGGTCGCGCTCGCCCTGCGGGTTGATCCTGTCGACACGAAATCACCTCCCAGGCGCGATGTTAGCGATGCCCCATCCTACCGCTCCCATCTAATCGACCTGCATCGAGACCTCGTCTCCATCAAGTCGACCTCCGGAGTGGAAGAAGATGTTGGCGCGTTTCTCACCGACTACTTCCTGGAAAAGGGCTGGATGTCGACTCTCCAGGTCGTCCCTCCACGAGACAACACGCCCTCTGGATCCGACCGGATGAACGTGGTTGCATGGCCGGATTCCGACAAATCGCCCAACCCGAAGGTCCTCCTGACGAGTCACATCGACACTGTGCCGCCTCATATCCCGTACGACATCGAAGATGGAGAGATCACGAAGCAAACACGTATCAGTGGCAGGGGCAGTGTTGACGCAAAAGCAAGCGTAGCATCCATGATAGTCGCTCTGGAGCAGCTCCTCGAAGTCGGAGATGTTCAGAGTGACGACGTGATGTTGCTCTTTGTCGTCGGTGAGGAAGTGTCTGGCGATGGAATGAGAGTATTCAACACCTCGCTCGATGATATGGATCCCAAGCCCAAGTTTGAGGCAGTGATCTTCGGCGAGCCCACAGAGAACAAGCTGGCATGCGGCCACAAGGGGGCACTGTTTTGCAGTCTCGATGTACAGGGAATCGGTGGCCACAGCGGCTACCCTTGGCTTGGCAAGTCGGCCACTGAACTCCTCGTTCGTGCCATGAAAGAGGTCTTGGATGCAGACCTCGGTAGCAGCAAAGAGTACGGCAATACAACCGTCAATCTCGGCCGTATTGAGGGAGGTGTAGCGGAGAACGTTATCCCTGAGCACGCACATGCTGGCCTCATGGTACGGGTTGCGCTGGGCCCCAAAGAAACGGGCGGCAAAGTTGTACAGGAACGCATCCAGGCCATCCTGGACAGCATCGATCAGGACGCATTCGATTTGGTCTGCAGCCAGGGGTACGGGTTTGTCGAAGCTGAATGTGCAGTTGACGGTACCATTTTCACATCCCTCATCAACTCAAGCAGTGCACGGCTGACTGTGACATAGGTTTCGAGTCGATTGTGGTCAATTATGGAACCGACATGCCAAATCTTGATGGAGACTTCACGCGGTATCTCTATGGGCCGGGTACCATTCTTGTCGCTCACGGTCCGCACGAAAATGTCACTGTAGGTGACCTCGAGAGTGCGGTGGAGGGCTACCAGCGGTTGGTCATGCATGCCCTGCATGGCGACTCCGGCGATTCTGCCCTTTCGCTCGACGAGCTCTGAGGATCATTCCTTTCGATTTAAAGGCGCCGTTATGTGGCCGACTCTATCTAAGAATTGACCACCCTCGCCCACCTTTCCGCCATGATTTGACTAAAGTCAAATGTGTTATCCGCGCTCTTCTCAACAGCGCCCTTTTCGGTCACAATAGTGTCGATGAACTCGGCGGGCGTCACGTCGAAAGCTGGGTTCCATACATCTACTCGCTGGTCGGCTGTGGCCACTCGTGCCTTGCTGCCCTGCTCAATTGTGCCGTCTTCCTTGACTATGGCGCCAGTCACCTGTGTCAACTCTTCCTTTTTCCGCTCCTCGATTGCGATCCCGCTGCCATCGGGCGTGACTAGGTCGATGCTAGTCGTTGGTGCAGCTACAATGAACTTGATGCCATGAGCCTTGGCAAGGACTGCAAGTTGATATGTGCCAATCTTGTTGGCCGTATCGCCGTTGCGAACAACGCGGTCCGCCCCTACCACCACAGCGGCAACGTTGGCCTTGTCTTTCTGCAAACGGAACAAGGCCGCCGCCATCGAGTCGGTGATGAGTGTGCTTGGGATCTTCTCGAAAACTAGCTCGAAAGCCGTGAGGCGGCTACCTTGGTTGTAGGGTCGAGTTTCGGTGCAGTAGGCGTGCTTCAAAAGTCCTCTAGAATGGAGGGAGCGGATGATACCGAGTGCTGTTCCGTGTCCCGATGTCGCAAGCGATCCAGTGTTGCAGTGCGTGAGTACTGACACAGGAGTCTCAGCGGTGGCACCGGCATTCCTGCGCAGCCAGTCTGCTCCCGAGTCTCCAATGGCCACGTTCGTTGTCAGGTCCTGGGCGAATATCTTCTCTGCCTCGTCGATGAAAGCTGAGATGATGTCTTCTTTGGTGCCTTCGCTCGACTCGCGGATTCTTGACTTGAGTTGAGTAATGGCGTTACTCAGGTCCACAGCGGTTGGTCGACTGCCTTTGAGGTAGTCGAGAGCTTGATCGATCTGAGTAATCGCTTCAGACGAAGAGTCCGCGGCCAACCCCTGGTGGTGGAGCTCGACGGCAAGTCCAAGACTTGCCACTATAGCAATTGCGGGAGCGCCTCTCACGCGCATGGACGCAATGCTGTCGAAGGCTTCGGATCGGTTCGAAACGACATCGTAGTGGAATGAATGGGGCAGGCGTAGTTGGTCGAGAACTTCGAGTTTCCCCCGCGAATACTTGATTGCCTGGAGAGAAGACATCTCGTAAATCCTTTCGTAAGGCTGTGCTGCTTTTGGCTAAATCGTGTACGCAATCTCGTAGCCACTCGCAGCAGCGGGGGATTTTCGTAGACCACTTGCGCAAGTTGCATGATGATGGATTCTGCCATGGAGACCCCACGTCATGTCCTTCACCGCCTGCCCCTTCTAGTCAAATCCCTGAACAGGGGTCCTCACCGCGGATAGCTTGAGGTCATCGTCGGTAAGTAGTTCTCAACATGCGGTGTTCATGAAACTGGTGCGTCTGAGCAGGCTGATCACTCCAGAGAGTGGTCGTTGAATGCCCATGAACCCACTGATTTTGTGCTTCAAATCATGGACTCGCAAGATGCCTCGACATCGAAAGTTACAGGTGCGGTCACTGCAAGCCAACAACCTGGTCACCTGTCGCAGCTAACGAGTTCAAGTCGAATACCACGACCCGCACGACGTCTACAAACTACTCGCTCCTGGCTTGATACCACAATTGCCTCTACACAATCTTCATTGGCAGTCTCACGCTGGCCCACTGCGATCCATCCCAACGTTGCACGTTGACCTTGTTCGCGGCGGTGATGGCCCTGTCGCGCCTGCATCGACGACACCGGCTCTTCGACGATCCGATAGTACTGCGCGCGACGATGGATTCCAAGCGCAAAGTGTAGGGGGTAGGACAACATCACTAGAGACAGTGGGCAGTTCTGCTGCCACCACTGGCTCTGCAGCTGGTCCTCAACGACGACACCAAATACCGGGACTTCGCCAGAGTCCATACCTGAAGATACTCTTGGTGCGATGCGACGACAACGATTCGTACAAGGCAACAGTTAGATCGGAAGTACGGGAATGGATCAAGGACCATGCGCCCTCGCCCAGTAGCTCGAAAAAGGCCCGCGTGCAAGAGAGACACGATGCTTTTGAATGGTTGGTCATTCACGTCGTCTTGCCCAATACCACGGCCGCCACGCAGCCGCGCACCACAAGTGTCAAGACGGAGAGTGCAGCTAGCGAAGGGAAAACGTCGAGGTGGCGGACGGGCTCGACACCACTCCTCGAGAAATTCCAGTCCGATTTCAATAGCTCTGCCAAAGGAGCGGTGGACCATGTCGCTCAGATTCGTATCGGCATCAACGATGTACCTTACGACCTCCTACCTCGGGTAGTACCAGCGGTACCCACAGGCTACATGGAGACCGAGCAAGACGCCCAACGCGCCTGGGAAGATCTCCTCAATAGACTCAAAGATCTGATCTTGGTCTCTTTCGATCGACGTGTGAGCCAGTACGAAGACGACATCAAGGAGAAGGAATCACAAAGAGCTTTGCCGGGTTGGAATTTCTGCACTTTTTTCATTCTCAAGGAAGGCTTGGCCCGCGGCTTTGAGAGTGTCGGACTCGTTGATGATGCCTTGGTCGGCTACGATGAGTTGAGTGTTGGCCTAGATTCCTTTGTGGCGGAACAGAACACTGGCGGCAACCTGGACCGACAGGGTGGTGGTTTGCTTCAATACACCAAATCTCTTAAGCAAACGATAGACGCACTCGCCTTGGACTCGTCCAGTACGGATGACGAGACCGTCGACCTACAATCAGATTCTCTGCACAAAGAGTCGGCCGATGAGATCCCCATCAATGCCGCCAGGCGACCTTATCGGGACATGATCCTAGCCAACGACGTGTCGGCATTCGATTTCAGATGCTACTTGTTTTCGAGGCAAATTGCCCTGCTGCTTCGGCTCGCGAATGCTCAATCAACACGAGAGGAGTTGTTGGCACAACTCAAGGAGCAGCAGGACTCGATATTGTATGGTGTAGCGCCTCGAGTACCAGCCCAACAGAAGAAACCCGAGGAAAAGGAGAACCTAGCGAAACTGGCAGAAATTTGCCACAGAGCACTTGAATTCATCCCTCAGATATCTCATGTCATGAGACAGGAGCTGCTTACTGCATACGCGGAGGAGCAACAACCAGAGAGGGCCGCTAATACATTGCGCGACGATGTCATTAACAATGTCATCTCTTCCTTCGGCTTCTCCGTGGCACAACAAATCCTCGCCCAGACGTCAACTAAAGCCTTGCCAATACCATCGTCTACAATATCTTTCACGAGCGATGATGAGCAGAAGGCATCTATACCTGAACCAAAGACGATGATGCATCCAGCTCGGGAATCTTCGCTTCACACAAAATCCGCACAACAAGAGCATCAACCACCACCAAGCCCTGGGGTGTTCCCTGGACCTGGTCAACACACCATTACACACCAAGGCGATTCATACGAAGCTTACCTTGCGAAAAATGGTCTGGAGGAGTTGGCCACAAAACGAGGTGACCTATACATGTTTTCGCGCAGCATCTTGACCAATTTCGGCAAGCTACGAGGTTGGAGCGCGGGCTGGGATGAAGCCCCCATCATGCACGAGCTCGGTATGCTGGAGATGGTAGATATCGACTTAAACGACGACGATGGCGACACTACCGAGAAGCAAGGGAAGCCGGCGAGAGACTCCAGAGAACTGCCCTTGGCCGGGATTAACAACAAGCTGCTGAGAACTGCCGCTGATAATTCGACGGACTTCTACCGCCTGTACGAGATACTGACGGACAAAGCTCAGCGGCATTTTAATGTCGCTGGTTTAGATCAAAGCGTCCAAGGCGCCATGTCCGACCAGGCCGTTTTGAAGTACCATTTGCAGGAGTACCGGGCGGCGACCTCATTTTTCTGCCTCACAACTCCATTCTTTGGAGAGAGCGGTTGGAGCTGGCTTGAGCTGTCAATGCTCGTCATGTACACAAATTGTTTGAAGCATCTCAAGTCTAAGGAATTTGTGAGGGTTGCTTTGAAGTTGTTGACGAAGGCATGCGCTACCCAGAAGGACCATGAGAAACCCGGGACGCTCGCTGGCAGCGTTAGCGACGGAAGTATACGCGCTGGAATCTCCGCTGTCGTGAATGACGCCGTGGGTAACGTCTCTGAACTTGCCCTGGCTCTACCTGGCGACGCCAAAGTCCCCTTGGATAGCTTCATCGCCGATGTCTGCCTCGAGTCGATGCCGGTTTATCACGACGACAGGGACAGCGCGACGATGAGTATACGATTACGATCTCTGTTGCCTAGTGAAGCTACTTTTGATTCCGTCACTTTGCAACTCGTAACGGACAATGTGGCCCACACGGAGGTCATTTTTCGCGTTGCCGAGCAGACATCAATAGTGCCTGGACCGAATGTGATCACCCTTCATTGCGCGGTAAGTCTGCAAATTGGACGTTGCGTTGCATGTAACTGACATCAGACCAGTCGATTATTCCAGGGCTGTTCCGGGTTGGCAGACTTTGTCTGCAATCTTCGCGCCTTTCCCTTTCCTCCGAGTACGATGCTTCGAGCTCAAAGCAGTCAGCCCACCGATTCAGATCGGTGCTCTTGCATAGACCAGCATCCGCCCTACAGGTCGGCCTCAGTGCCAGCCGGCATATGACGCTGAACAAGACCAACCATCTCGAGCTGACAGTCCACTCCGGCAACAACAGCGTCAAGAGCTGCGAGGTGCGCATCCGACCAGCGACGGGAGGTCTGCGTATGTTGATGAACGAAGCTGTCTGTATCGACCAGCCAGACTCCTTTGCGAAACCTCCGGAAGCTGGCGTATTTCGTCTTGGTGCTCTCCCGCGTGACTCGCCCACGGTCATCCGATTTCCGTATACTATAGAGCAAGACGTTGCCGAGATAGTTGCCAAACTGGACATAACTTACAACACCGACAAGGACGGCCCATTTGCCACCTCGGAAACATCAAAGATACCCATATCCCTCGCAGTGGGGGTCAACGTGCAAGATATCTTCAAGCACAGCGTCATGTATTCGCGCTTCAGTGTCTCAACAGGCAGCACTCAACCACTCCGCTTGTACGATTCCGAGCTCCTCGACTCTGACATATTCGAAGCTACTCGCTCCGGGCTCGCGTCTTCGACTTTGGACATATTCCCCGATCAGCCGACCACCCTAGTGTACAAGGTGCGAAGGAAGTCCACCGGCGAGCACGTGGGCAAGGGTGCAAGCAGAACACTACATCTCAAGTTATGTTACAACCGGCTCAATCTTGAGATTGAGGAACTCTTACGACATGCAATCATGGAGGCTCTTGCACAAACGCCGTTGACTCAGTATCAGCGGCTTGTCGAGTCCGTGATTATGGAGCACATGCATTCATACTTGGACCACCGTCAGTCCGAGCGCGCCTCACTGTTGGGAGAGGTGTCGACAGACTTTCTAGCGTCCATTCCGTGGCAGGACAAACTCATCGGACTAGGCTCCGACCCTGCAAAGTCGGAGGATCCTGCTGTGGCCATTCCGCGTTTCTTTCGCGAGTGGCTCCAAACCCACCAGACGTTGCCTTTGCCCTCGTCTAACATACTGCCTGTATCTTCTATACTTATCCCAGTGGAAGTCCCTTCCCTTTCTGTGGTCCACACCATTGATCTGCGTCTCTCTCCAATGCCAGACCTGATCAGTAAGAAAACGACAGGGGAACCACCTGTGGTGATCATTGGGCAAGTAGCACCCGCTATACTGCGTCTGAAGTCGACAAGGCGGTGGTGCGATCCGACCAAGGCCCCTCGGCGTGATCAGGTGTTCTCATACGAGGTCACCGCCCCTCTGGAGCTGTGGACACTAGGTGGACGCCGGCGGGGCCATTTCGTGGTTCCGCAGGCGTCCAATCCAATGTCGGACGAGGAGACGTCTATTCCCATCGTGATGATACCACAACGCGAAGGCTGGATCCCACTGCCCACCGTTGAGATCAGGGAACTCGACACAAACGATGAGCCACTGAGCACCAGCTCTCCGGCATTTGAAGTGGATTCGCACAACATTGGCGAGACAGTACACGTAGTTGGTGGCAGGGAATCAGTCACTGTGAGCTTAGATGCCAGTGGACAAGGGGGAGGGCCCTTGATACTCGAAGGACCGCGGGTCGGTAGAACTAGTAGCCAGGTCGTGGCTTAATAAAGAACCCGAGGTAGAACACCCTGACTCGTGTTGTCACATTTGCAGACTGTTCGGGCTCGCCGCCGGGGTGCCATGCGTCCCTGCGATGCCGTATCATACATGTAGTCAACGCCTTTAGACATGCAATTATTACTCCAGATTCGCCTTTCTATAGACCCAATATCCCTGAAAGGATGCAATCACGGAATCACGCCTAGCAATGCACCAGAATAAACAACAACCTTGGGGACCAGTCACTTTGTACATTCGCGTCTTGCCTGTATAGCCGGGCCCAGCGAGCGTCAGCGCAGCAAGAAGACCCAAGGTGAGCGTGGCGGCGCGCGGGTATCGTTGAAAACCGCCATAAAACAGTCGTGTGCAGGTACCGTGTCAGCAAGTTGGTACTGAGAATGGTGCCAACCCCCGAGCACAGGGCGTCGCAAAGCCAACGGCAGTGGCAGCGACAGAAGTGTAGTTCGTCCGCACCGAACCACCGGGTCATTTCTTGCTTCGACTACTTGTCGCTGTGATTTTGCTCGTGCTCATGAGATCCCCGATATACTTCTGGAGGAATTTGTTGTTACTGTCGAGCTTGTCGTGTTCTTCTCGCACGGCCTCGATTCGGTTAAAGATGGTGAGAAGGGAGTCCTGAAGTGCTTGCGCGTGCCTGCAGGCGCTGGTCAGTATGGCGAGCACCACGACGACAGCGGGGGCTACTTACTTCCTAAGCTCCTCGCGAGCTTCCTTGCCCATCTTGTCAATATCTTCACTCGTGCGCCGCGGACTCATGGCTCTAACATCGTCCGGGCCATAGTGAGACTCGACAGGACCAACGGCAGAGCTGTCGCGGGGGACCACAAGAGGTCCGCTGCTCTGGCGACTTGGAAGTCGTGGGCGCGTTGGTATGGGCTGGTGTATTGTGGGCTCGTTGTTGTCTGACGGCGTTGTCGACACGGCGGAGTCTGATCGTTCGAGGTGCGTTGGACGCTGGACCCCGCCAGACGCAGGGGACGGAGACTCGTTGTCGGACATGTTTGCAGGATACGCACGGGGTGCTCTGTCGATGCGTATTTGGTGAAGCCGGGGTTTATCGACGGCGGCGTACTTGTAATTACGGCGTACCAGGACGATGTTGTGCAGCTAGCGTCGGCCAAGGCTTGTGGTATACGGCGGGCAGTCCTAGAGAATGGTGTGACCGGGTACGTTTGCTCGTAGAAAATCGCTGCAAATGTCTAAGGACAAGATGTGCGGAGAAGTGCTGGCCTGGTCTTGCCGCAACGGGTATCTTCACGGGCCAAGGTGAAGTAAGGCGACGTAGTGAATGGGTTGAGGCGGTCTGGGCAGTAGTTGACCGTTGAGGCTGGAGGCCACGAGGTTTTGCAGATTCCCCTAGGTACCTACGGTAGAGTAAACCCCTTCTCAACGGCACCAGACCCAATGATACATTATTAGTGGAACCTCCAGAGGCCAGTGTCGTACGTAGGAGGAAGCTACTACGCGCCAAGTCTGGGCGGTCCCCTCCTTTTCGTTCGCCCTTTGAGCGAGCGTTGCGGATGCGCACCGAGTCCAGCAGTGATGTACAGGCGTGACGTGTGACGTCTAAGCGCACGGGGCACTGAGGTCTATTGTGGTCGACGATCACTTCAGCTTCGGGGTAATACCCGAGCGGCTAATTTCTCCTGAATCCACGCACCACAACGACTGATTCAAGAAGCCTCGCATCTATTCCGCTGCAACTGGACCGCACAGGCGTGCATTCGCAACGTGAGACCCCAGGAATCTCGCCCACCGTCGCAGCAACCCAAGAATCAGTTTATTGAGAAGTACTCCTCCTCTCAGATAAGGACGCTGGAACTCGAACTGAAATGAGTGTGGGGCACTGGGGGGGCGCCAAGCCCTTTGGAGTCAGTCCCTGGCAAATGGCTGCTCAGGCCCCGTGGGTAATGACGCACGACCAGCCCTGTTCTTTCTCGCCCATGACACTTTCTGTGAGCGTCCGGCTGCAGATACACGCCTAACATTCTCACCGCGCGACCTGGATGCAATCTGTTACTGCCACATCGTGGGGGAAGGACCCTGGTTTTTCACGGTGGCGCTCCAAGTAATACTCCGTAACCCGCCAAGACGGCCATCCCTCATTAGTGTTCGTGAAGCATCATAACCATCATCAGGGGCCCATCCAAGACTGACGGTCGCCACAAGCATTCGGCTGTGCAGCTTGTCGTCGCAGCCTCGGAGCGCTCAGGCTCCCAAATATTGATTGAAACTATGCGATGGTCTCCCGGTTCATTACTAGACTACGTACTAGTAGTTTATCTTGCACACAGCAACCACCTGTGAAGCTCATGTGAACCATGGAAAAAATGATCCCAGCATGCTTCACATGGCCAATTCTCGGTAGATCTGGAGAGACTCCATGCCTTTAGTTTGGCACGCATGGCCAAAGTCGAAGAAAGTTTAGGCAGTCCACCCATCACCGGCACAGAGCATCCAATTCACAGCCACCAATTGCAGACCGTTCGAGCTGACAAACTTGGCGGCATCAAAGGATCGACGCTGTACGAACTCCTCACCTCCAACATCGTCCTTCGCCAATGACAGTGATTGAGGTTCCCGAAACAACAGAAACAGGTATCTGTGAGGGGCTGACCTGATTCTCTTTATTAGCGAAGAACAGAAAATCTTTCACGCTGGTTTACTGACTCGTCCTTCGGTCCTGGACCCAGAAACTCAGTCAACACAGATGGGGAACCCTCGTTTGACGCGGGAGCTGCATCAGGCCTGAGCCCAGAAACCACCCAATGACGCCAGAAAGCGAACTTCGGATCATCTGGGGTGGGCGCATCAGGGTCGATCAGCAGCAGCATGTATGTCGATGACTCTGTGCTGTTGGCCTTTCCGGGGACCAAGTCAGTTACGATCCGATGATGGCACTGCCAATTTGGCCTTTTCACATTACCTCTGGCGCGAAGCTGACACTGGGTGCGGCCTTGCATTCGGAAGCTCGAAAAAAGGTCCCAAGCTCAATGAGGCGATCACCGAATTTAATGGCGAGTTGTGTACTTGGCGAAAAGTCCTCGGGAACAAGCGAAGCTGCCGGGCCAGGTACAAGTCCCGCCTCTGCGAGACTCTTCCTGAGCGCCTGCGCATCGTTTTGTTGAGACATGGCTGAAATAATAGATAAGGAGAACACTATATCTTAATCCAACAAGTGTTTGAGTACACGGCATTGCGCTGTTCTTATATCAGAGCGCTGGACCACCAGCGAGCTCGGTGACTGGTGGAATTACATGCCAGCATAAGCGCCGATGCCACGCAAGGAAATGGAGTCTCGACTTCGGGGTTGCACAAGAGCGAGGGAGAATTTCATGTATCCATAGGTACTTTTTCATTATTGAAATATGGCTTGGCGTAGATTCCATCATACATCCTCAAATTCGAATCGGACAAGCAAGCTGGTCCTGGTCTCTCTCCCCTTCAAGTCAAGCATGCGGATAAAAGACCAACCAGGCACAACATAGGACAGGCGAACAGCATGCACTGCGATATTCGGGTTCTTGGCCCAACTCTCATCGTGCTTTATCAAAAGACGTAGGAAGACGAGGTCGCTGTCATCGTACTCCCATTCGAGAACATCGTCCCAGATAGGGTCAGTGGGCGGGGGGTTCTCGCCGCGATGGAGGAAGCCGAGTTTGTGCTGCTTGTACGGCGCAGTCTTGCGCTTTGGTGGTTCGTTCTTGAGATCGTCCGGATGGAAAAGGGTGCAAGTGAGATAAGGCTTGAACGATTCAACCTCTGTCTCCTCAGGGAGCTGAATGTCAGAGGCGCCTCCGACATGTGGGCGAAGCTTTCTTTTGCGGCCGGTCGATAGTTTGCCGTCACCGCCAGCGCGAAGAGCCGCAGGCTTCAAGACGAAACCGTCCGAGCCAGCAAACAGAGCGTCGTTGAGTTGGTTGCTTGTCCCGAATGTTTGCCAGTTGAGGGCACAGACCTGCGCGCCGATGCCCCAGAATGGCACAGGTTTGAGATTTGACGATGAGATGCGGGTTCCCTTGGGAAATACACGCATCAGGTGCTTTGCGTTATGTCTGGCAATCGACGCACTTTGTTCTGGAAGATGCGATGCAAGTCCTGATTCCGAGACGTTTATAAGGTGATGATGCGGTCCATTGGTCAGCCCAGCATCGCTGAACCAAGAATTGTTGCCTGGTTTTACCGACTGGGCATAGACTCCGAGCTCCGCGAGCTCCGGGACGATGGTTGTCGAGGGTGCCTTTTTCTTTTTGTCCTTGTATTCCTTCCGCGCCGCTTTCTCTTGCTCATCGTCTTCAGAGTCATCTGAGTCGCTGTCGCTGTCGTCTGCCTCGTCTGGGAGGTGATACTCGACCATGACGACAATCTTTGCTCCGAGTTCCTCGAGTGTGACATGCTCGCCAGAGTCGGCTTGCTCTCGATGGCCTTCCATCCGAACAGGCTCACTGAGGAGGCGATGCCCGAAGACTTCGCGCATGATCTGTGCAAGTCGGAGCTGACCGTGTGCGTCACAGTGATTCTCGAGGGACAGCAGGATTGGTGCTTGTCTCTGATGCGGATCCTGTCCAGCAGCCGCCTCCTCCTCCTCATCGCAGCAGTCACGTATGGCCTCGCAGACGGACCGGAATGGTATGTTGGACACCAATGTGAAGCCGTGCGTCACCTTTGGCTCGTCCATATTGTCGCTGTTGTCCCACGCATCTATCTCCACGCATCGTGACCCTGTCTTGATGGCAGTCTCGTACGCCGACACGCAAGATGTCCCGTAAAGTTGATGCGCTACAAGATACGTATTGTGACTGGAGCTGATGAACTATTCTGGCAGCGGATGCGATCTGTCAGTGATGGCCTTGGGAACATTGATGTGAGGCTTGGTGACCAGGGCGCGCAGCGCGTCAGTCGACGCATCAGATTCGGTGCCCGCCTCCTTTTCAGACAGAATGCCGTTCGCAATGATGAAAGACCGCAAGGCGCTGCTCACGTGCAGCTTGTCTTTTGTGACTACCTTGTCCTTGATGCGATGGCCGGTGCTGTCGACGTCCACGCTTTCGCCTCGATCCTCATCATCCTCCTTGCCCTTTTCCCTGAAGGGGTTGAGACTGGACAACTTGGCTGTGATATCGGCCATGGCTCGATGTGGAAACAGAAAGATTGAGCACAAAGAAAATTATCCAGAAAGTCACGGACAGCAACAAGTATGTTTCTGTGAGAATGTTGTATGGCAATTCCTGGAATTGGATACACTTCTTGAATTGTGTTGCAATGCTACTGTAGGGGTAGCTCTGCTCGGGGCTTGCGTCATCGCCAATGCGCATCGATGAGGGGCAACGACTAAGAAAGTTGATGCTGACATGGAGAAAGCTGAAACTACCTCCGGGACTGCCTTGGGAATGCGAAGCAGCCGGAGCAGCCGAGCCTACACATGTACGCGAACATTCAGTCAGGTCTTGGGTCTGAGTCTGCGCATCTATAACAAGTTTATTACACTTTTACACCTCGCGTCTAACTCAGAAATCACTACTGGTCAAGCGATCACGTGCACTTTAGCGCCGTGGTGTAGACGACGTTAATTGGTTGGACGGACCGACAGATCCACTGCACGCGGAACGGTAGACGTACATATCTCGCGTTGCAAATAATTTTCTTCCTTTCCTCTCTTCTTCACAAATATTGAACAACGCAAAAACAACGTTCATGTTCCCATTTTTAACATCTGTGTGAGGTGCCGTCTCTCGATGTGCACCCAAGACCTATGATAATTGCGGAACACAGAATGGAGAGTAACAAAACAGCGAGCAATCTTGGGTGCGGTGCTCCCCCTATGTATGGGGAGGATCGCAATGATTGAACGTACATATTGATGCTGAGGAGACGCTACTGCCTACGCACACTTGCCAACGCCTCGCACGCATCCGCTATCCCCAGCAGGCACTGCCCGTGGTTCCAATCTGGACCTGTTAGTCGGCACAAAGCGAGACCGTTGACCGGTGCCGAGCGTTGCGTGATGTCGCAGTGTCTGTTTGAATTGTTTAATACCCGAGTGACTAAGATGAAGTGACTGGTGAGACCAAACCCTTACTGGGTCAAACCTAGGAGAAGCTTGTTTGCGGATATCACGTCCGACTCTTATGCGACGCACTTTGCGATCCCATGAGGCTCCTGTCGCCGAACACGCGCTGGTTTCAATTGTCGAGACCTGTGTGCTTCATGGACGCGTCGCACAGCAAGGACGAACGCGTCGGGCTAACCTCAACGCTTACGTCACGTTTGAAATGGCGCCCTTTGGGAGACATCTGCATCATGATGATCTGCCGTTCAACAACCAAGCTAACCACATCCTCCTGTTGGCAAAGGCCTGTTGATTTATAATCCCGTCGAGATTTGGAAGTAGCACGCCGTATATAATCAAGCCTTTGGCACTGACGAGTAAATCCAGGACACATTGTCTCGGCCTGAACCAGAGCATTCCTGAAACTAGGACAGCTTGAACGATTCAGCGGAATCATCTCCTGAACACACAACCTGTGCACTCACGATCAAGTGTACATCATGGCTGACATCAGCAAATACACCATCAACGTACCCGCAGAAAAGCTCAAGCTGCTCAGCGACAGACTAGCCTTAGCAACGTTCCCGACTACCGTCGATTTCAGCGACGACTGGAACTACGGCGTTCCTCTGAAGGATATCAAGCGACTGGCTCATCATTGGGCCAATGGCTTTGACTGGAGAGCTCAGGAGGCCAAACTGAACAAGCTGCCGCAATTCTCAACCAAGGTCGATGTTGATGGATTTGGCACGCTGAACATACACTTTGTTCACCAACGCAGCCACAGAGAGAACAGTATCCCTTTGCTGTTTTGCCATGGTTGTATGTGGCGTTCTTACTATGTGGCATTACGAGATGCTGACGAGGAGCTTAGGGCCTGGGAGCTTTCTAGAAGTGATCAAGATACTGCCATTGCTCACGCAGAATAACGATGGGCAGTCGTTTCATGTCGTTGCACCCTCGCTACCGAATTATGGCTTTTCGGACGGCGTCAGCAAGCCAGGTTTCGGAATGCCTCAATACGCTGAGGCCATGCATAAGGTCATGCTCAATCTCGGCTACACCCAGTACGGTCCGTATTCTAGCACTTGGACTCCAGAAGATGAGTTGCTGACCGTTTCTAGTGACTCAGGGAGGTGATTGGGGCTTTGCCGTCACCCGTATGATGGGCATATTGTATCCCCAGAATGTGCTGGCATCACACTTGAACATGATTCGCATCAAGGCGCCGAGACTGACTTCGGCGCCTGCTGGGGTCGCGAACGACGAACAATCTTATACCGAAGAAGAAAAAGCTGGCCTGGAGCGATCGAAATGGTTCGAAAAAGAAGGGTTCGGATATAATCTTTTGCAGTCAACGAAGCCATCTACGATTGGCATGGCTTTGACCGACTCACCCATTGCGCTTCTGAGCTGGATATATGAGAAGCTGCACGACTGGACTGACGACTATCCGTGGACCGATGATGAGATCCTCACTTGGGTCTCTATCTACCAATTTTCCGTTGCTGGCCCTGCTGCCAGTGCTCGAATCTACTACGAGAACACTCACGCCAGCCGAGGCCTCACTACGAAAATCCTCGAGTACAACGGAGCGACAAAGCTAGGCCTCTCGTATTTTCCCCGTGATATTATTGTGCTGCCATCGGCCTGGGGGCGTACGCTCGGGCCTGTTGTATTCGAAGTGAGACACGACAGGGGAGGACATTTCGCAGCTCACGAAACACCGGAACTTTTGGTGAAGGATTTGAGGCAGATGTTTGGGGAACGCGGGGGCGCTCACGATGTCATAAAGACCATCTTGGCGAAGGGTGACAGCCGACTTTGATCGAATGTGTTGTGAGTCGCGACGAGGTTTGTGTGGGAGCTGGTTGTAGTCGGATGTACCGTTGAGTCTCCTTCCAGGGTTTCCCTGTCGCGAGGGAAGTTATTTTAGGAATACACGAAATATTGTTATGCCTAGACTATCGGGAAGATATCATTGCGCACTAATTACTTCTACGCTTTCAATTCTAGATACTGCCTCCCCTTCTTTGACACGTACCTGGTAGACTAGCCGTTGTGAAAATGGCAGAAGATTGCAGGGTAAGCGACTTCTGCACCGCATTACATGTGCTCTCGGTACTCCGCGTCTACGTGGTACTGCTCCACACCCCATGACTCTCCTTCAACATGGCCCATCAAGCCCATAACATTCCTTGGACCACTTTGTCGTCCTGCCTCTCCTGGCGCCTGTCGAACCGTTGCGAGGGTGGCGCCGCGGATCTTCACTTGAATCCCCGGCGCGACCGAGGCAAAAAGCTCAGGCACTTTACGACCGCGTTCGCGCGCAATATCCACGAGCATGCCGAGAGCGAGATTCGAAAACATGCCGATGATAGCGATCCGCCTCCCGCACGAGACGAAGTGGTTGTAGAGGATGACGCGGCTGCCCTGATTGCGCCCATTATTGAACGATGGAGACAGTCTGTTGAATATCGCCCAGGCATAAACAACACTCGGCTCGGCGCTTGTTCTCATCAGAGCGACGACTGCGGCTGCGTTTTGCCTCGAGCAAGCCGTAAGATGGCGGCTTTTACCGAAGTGTTCCATGCACAAGGTTGCTACAGCCGTATGCATGTGAAATCAAGCGGTTTCTTCAACGCGGAGGTTTTCACGGCGATGCTGCTACACGGCCAGATGCAAGCGTTGTTCCGCATATGCAGCCACCCAGAGGTCGCCTTGCAGACTTGGTGGCAGGAACAGGAGTGCCAGTGCATAGACTATTTTGGATGGTTTCGTGTCTCTAGTTTCGCGCTGGACGCGTACATCTTGCTGAATGTGTTGCTGCACTTCCCCCAGACTTGGCAGAAGGGAGAGGCTGATTACCGACGCTTGAAAACCTATCAGGAGGTCGTGTACCGGATCACCAAGGGTTCAGTCGACGAGCTGCCTGCATATCCGCACCGCCGTTTCTTTGGAATTGCGGACGGCCAATTCCAAGAGCACGATGGTTGGGACTCTCCGCATTCGCGGGAGCGATGGCTTCGACCAAAGTCATCACGGCGCCGGCGAGACCCCGGGGGCAAGAGTCAAGGGTCTGTATTGGGACACATTCCGTATGAGGCTTTCGTCGACCTGAATCAGGTTTCTGAGTACCTCCCTTCGAGTCAGGACGTTTCGCATGTTCGATGGGTTCTCTGTGAGAAAGGGTTACCAGCTGAAGTTGCCAACATCATCCTACAAGGAGCACGCTATCACGCCCAAACGCGGCTCCCAGTGCCCGATGATCCCTTGCACTCGTCTAACAGCGACGAGTTGCGCAAGTACTTGACGTACAACTGGCAGCTCATTGTCCGCAGTGCGGCACTCGGTGCACGCATGGGGATGGAGCTTGACTGGGAACAGCAGGTTGCTCGCTCCCTTCTGAGACTTTTTGGGTGCTCTTGCAAAAGCCACGAAGCACCGTCTTTGTGGAAGATAGATTACGGCTCTTCATGGGAAGGGATTATCACATTTCTGTGACCTCATGGGCACTGGGCTTGGGATGTCTATCCGGCATTGACTTTGCGGCCTGTGAGGCTAGCAGCCAATAGTTTCTACGCATGCTGGAGATGAAGATATATTACTTTGCAGATTCGCAACGGCTTCTACTAACACTGCCGACTGACCTTCTTGAGATGTCTGTTCGTTGAGTGGTTGATGTCGATGAGAGACCAACGAAAGCTCGAGATACTGCCACATGTCACATGCCGCGGGGGCATTGGTCTGGGCCTGGCAGCTTATCATAACTTCCCCATGCCACTTCATGGTGGAGTATGCAAGCCATTGTTAAGAATACCATCCGCAACCGTGCCTTTCCTTTCCACAGAACCGGCCGCCTGACCCAAGGACAGCTGGGCCCGCGCGCCGACCGCAGCTCAATCACGTAAAGATCAGCGTGTCTGAATGAAGTTTTCACAGCATAAGTCGAGAAAGCACTGTCCGAGCCGCCCAATCTGGAAGCAATGGCCGCCGTTTTTGGAGGTTTTGATAGTGAGGGGCTATGGGCGGACGCAGGTACCGGGTACCTCCGAGCGCGTCGTGAAGGGGTGGAGCCCTTGTGCCTGGTCCGTCGACCCCGCCGAGTCGCTTAGCTCAGTCTTTCATTTTAGAACCAATAGCAGGGCAGAGTTTGTCGGTTTCTTACGATAGAAACGTCTATTTCTAGCTCTCTAAGCCATAGGTAGCTAAGCATATAAGATAGCGCCATTTCCGGCTAACTTATATACGTTATCTTCTATCCTATTACCTTGCACTATCACCGTCTATATAGGCTATTTTCTTAACCCTTGATGCGCACGAAGTCTGCTATAGCACCCCCGTATCGCTCCCTTTAACGTGCGACCGGCTATGATAGTTATTATATCGACTTTATCGAGCGCTTTACTTAGCGATAGGCGTAGTAGCGAGTTTAGAAGAAGCCCGCCACCCTTAACGCTAACTAACGGGCTACCCTCCGCGAGTAACTAAAGGAAGTCCGTTTCCTTAAGCTAGACTATGCCGATAATACTAAGATTAATATCGCGGGTATCTTACGCAAATGGAAAATATTGAAGAGTAATACTCTTCTAGGCGCAGGGTAAGTGAATCGCGATAATCCGGGAACCCTTTAGGGTAGGCAAAGTAATAGGTGAAGAACTTGGTGAATGAATGACTTAATTCAGAACTATTTAGTAGTGAGCGAAGGCCTATATTTATAGGCGTGAGGGCGCTGTAATGCCCTGTAAAAGAGTGGGTCAAACCGAACCTAGTGGAAGGTTATAGAAGGTTTGATTTATAATAGCGAGTGTGGCAGTGCTAGCCTTCGAATATTATAGAAGGCAATAGAAGCACTGTATTTGTAAGCGCTGTGGACCCTTATAATAGGGCCTGAATAGATCCCTGTAAGGGTTCTGTGAGAGGGCCTCGTAAGGCACCTAATTAAGAGGATTAGCCCCCTATTCTTAACACCCCCTCTGTGCCTAAGAGCCCTCTAAGGGTTCTGTGGCAGGGTCTCTAGCAGGAATAACTAGGCCTAATAGCGCTAGAAATTGCTGCTGTAAGGGAGCTGTTAGGGCCTTTGTTAGGCCATCAGCCGGCATAGCCTTAGTGTTAACATAGGCTAGCTTTAGCAGCCCTTTTAGTACTTGTTCCCTATTATAGTGGAACTTTAGAAGGGTGTGCTTTGTGCGGGCGTGTAAGGTCGGGTTATAGGCGTTGCTTATAGCGCCTTGGTTATCGCAGAAGACCTGAATAGGGGTTATGAAGGGCTGTTTTAGCTCTTTATAGAGCCCCTGTAGCCACTGTAGCTCTCGAATTGCTTCTGTAAGGCTATCGGATTCAGCCTCTAGTGTTGAGAGTGCTATAGTGGTAGCCTTCTTAGCCTTCCAACTTACAGGGCCTTGAGCCACTATAAATAGGTACCCAAAGGTCGATTTAGAGGACCTTTTGTCACCGGCAAAGTCGCTATCACAATAGCCTATAGGCTGTAAGGCTTATATAAGGCCTGAAGATTCAGGGCCTCTATAGCGAATAGCGAGCTTCTTAGTGCCTTTGAGGTACTGTAGAAGCTTTTTAGCCGCTGAAAGATGTAGTGAGTAGGGCTTAGCCATAGCTTGGGCTAGCCACTGAACGGCAAAGGCTATATCAGGCCTAGTTAGCAGCATTAGGTACATTAGAGTCCCTATAATCTGCTGGAACAGGCGGTGGTCTTCTGGACCTAGGGGCTCGGCCCCTAATTCAGCCGCTGTGCTTCGGGTCACATTAGGCTGTAAGGGCATACTAAGGGCCTTGCAATTTTCGAGGCCATAGGTGCTGAGGGCCTGATCGGTATACTGTTCCTGATGAAGGTACAGGGCCTTGTTAGGCCTATCCCTCTGTATTTGAACGCCTAAGAAGAAGGCTGCAGGGCCTCTATCTTCTAGGGGATAGCCCTTATGTAGGGCTTTCTTTAGACTATTAATAAAGCCTAGATCAGGGCCGATCAGGAGGCAATTATCAACGTAGGTCACTATAAAGGTGGCCTTTTTAGCGTTATAGTAGATTACCGGGTCCGAGATTAGTGGCTAAAAGCCTAGGTCTTTTAGAAGGGCCTTTAGGGCTTCTTGCCACTCTCGGGGGCCTTGCTTCAGGCCGTATAGTGCCTTATTCAGCAGTATAACCTGCCGAGCACTAGGGTCCCAGCCAAGCGCTAATAGCTTCTTAGCTAGGTTAGGGTTAGCCTCTATAAAGGCCTTGAAGCCAGCGGGAACTTCAGTATAAATAGCCTCTTGTAGGCGGCTGTTTAAAAAGGCGCCTATAAAATCAACCTACTCTATTTCCCAGTCTTTAGCGGCTGCTAGCGCTAAAATAAGCCGCCAGGTAGGGGGTATAGAGGTCGAGGCGAAGGTCTCCTTATAATCTAGGCCTTCTTCCTGCATAAAGCCCTTAACCACAAGCCTAGCCTTATATTTATAGGGCTTGTTTTGCGAATCTAGCTTAACCTTCAAGACTAGCCTGTTTTTTAGTACCTTTCGGCCCCTGGGAATAACGCTATAGGGCACAAATTTAAAGGTATTAGCTAGTAGAAGTTGCCGGAATTCAGCAAAGATAGCCTGTAGCCACTTATCCTTATAGGGGCTCTTTAGCGCTTATTGCCAAGAGGCAGGCGCTATAATGGCTTGAGCCTCTTCTTTAGCCCTGTAAATAAGGGCCCGTAAGGATAGATCCATTAGATCAGTGGCTTCGTTTGGCGCTGTAGCCTCTGTGGGTTGTGCTGGAGGCGTTGTGGGTATTGTGGGCGTAGGCGCTGTGGCCGCTGTAGGCGCTGTGGCCGCTGTAGGCGGGCGTTGTTCCGGCAAGAAGGAACGCTGTGAGGGCCCTGAAGGTAGGGGGCCTAGAGGCTCTAGAAGGGACTCTTCTTTATCCCTTAGACCTGCTAGGCTATTTTCCCCCTCTGAAGAAGAGTCTATTATAGAGGGATAAGGGACTAGGTCCCCTATGCTAGCCCCTATATTCTCCCTTATAGTTAGAAAACTAGTCTTTGTGACTAGTCTTTTAGAAGGAAGATAGACCTGATAGGTGTTCTTGCCTAGTGTGGCTAGCACCTTGCCGGGTAGCGTCCTAGGGGCTAATTTAGCGCCCTTAACGCGTTGTTCAGGGGGTATTAGAACCTCACAGTCGGCTCCGATAACCCTAAGAGCCTGAAAGTTTAGGCTATAGGCTTTAGAAGGCTCTAGGTCTTCTAGAAGTAGCTGTTTAGGCGTTTGTTCCCTATTGCTCACTGCAGTGCAGTTAACAAGGCCTAGAACAGCGGGTAGAACAAAGTTCCATAGGTATAGGGGTAGCTGTGACCCCTGAAATACAGCGCGTAGCCGGTCTAATAGCACCCTTATAGACTGTTGAAAATAAGGGACTAATCCCCTAATTAGGTGCCTTACGAGGCCCTCTCACAGAACCCTTACAGGGATCTATTCAGGACCTATTACAGGGGT